TTTCTAGCTCTCTATCTCTCTCCCTTCCTTCTCTCTGTAAAATATCAATGAAATATATTTAAAAAACAAAACAAAACAAAAAAAACAGAGTTATATTTTTGGTAGTTTTTGTTTATGATACTGCTTCACTTCATTAAATATTTTAGACAATTTACAGAAGAATACATACAATAAAATTATGATGCAATTAAAATTGATAGCAGGATATAGAAACATATAAAAAAAAGTCTTTAGTAATTAGGGAATGCAAAGTGCCTTATTAAAAGTACAATAAAACACTCCCTGCCATATGAGGATACAAAAAGAAGACAGTCATCTACAAACCAGGACAGAATTTGCTGGCACATTGATTTTATACTTTTCTGCCTCTAGAACTGTGAGAAATAAATGTCGTCGTCCACCCGCAAAAAAATAAATAAATACAATGTTAAAGACTGTGTTTTTCTAAGTATTGTATAACTCAGTATTTATTGAATTATAATTAATGTTACTCTCTTTATAGAATCCTTCCCAGAAATACCAGTTGAATGATTTTTTTCTATTTGAAACTTCTGTAAAGCTATGGCTAGAAATACTCTTTACCATGTCACTCATTTTTTATATCATGGAAGAAATTCCAATTTGAGTTTAGTTTTAGTAAAAGTTTTGTCCCCTACAAATATGAATATAAATGTTCAGAAAACAAAAACCCAGTGTATTTTCCGTTCCTGCTGCCAAAAATTTTTGAGTCCAAATCATTGTCTGGGTTCTGTAATCTCTTTAACATGTGTGTCCCAGAACATATATCACTTGTCTATCATGTAGATGTTTTCCATTCTTGTATTTTTCTTTCTTTTTGAGTAAATATACTCAAGTCCTTTGAAAAATAGCTGAAATGCAAATGCTGAAGTGTTTTCCATAAGTTATATGTTTTTCAGTTTTTTTAATGTTACTGTTTGAGAAGAACTTTTTAGAAATGAGAACTCCCTACACATTCTTAGTTAACTTTGTCCAAAAAGATCTATAAATGTTAATTAGTTTCTACTAGTGAAAGAATGGAGAAAATAAGTTTTTAGCATTTTAAGTCATTTTTCTAAAGTTTTGGTTGGCTATTTCTAGCTTACATTTAATATAAGTAGTGATTTTTATTACCTCCTGAAGGACAATTTTCTTAACAATAGTAATTGTAAACTATTTTAGAAGGATTTATGTTATTTCTAGAATAATGATTTTCTTTTGATTTAGAAAGTCTGATGTTATTTTCTCAAGAATTCTCTGTGGAGTGGCTTATTCTTTTCAATTCCTTGACACAATTCTATATGTCTAGGATTTGGCCACATAAATATCAAGTTAAACAATTCAATAATATATATTCTACAGAACACTTGGTTCATTTGTATTTTTTAGGATGGTTCATGCAGCCTGGCTGGTGTGGTTTAGTGGTTGAGTGTCAAACTATGAACCAGGAAGTCATGGTTCGATAACCAGTCAGGGCATATGCCCAGGTTGTGGGACATGCAGGAAGCTGCCAACCAATGATTCTCATCATTATGTTTCTTTCTCTCTCTCCCTTCCTCTCTGAAATAAAAAAGAATATATATTAAATAAAGTTAAAAAAAAAAAAAAAAAAAGCTGCTTCATGCATTCAGTCCAAGAACAAATACTTAATGAGGTTATCCAGGGCCCAGTTGTATAGCCTAGCATTAGGTACACTAGAAATTCGTTAACTAATGCTTGGTTTGATTTTTTCCCCCAAGCCCATGGGAAGTTTTTGGTAACCTCTGACACATCTCCCTAATCTAGTCTTACATTGATTGGGAGTTATCCCACTTTCCTTCCTACTTCCTGCTAGTTAGGCCATATAAATGAGACATTCTAGTCTAACCAAGTTAGGCACAGATAGGGATACTAGCCTTAAAAGCAATAGGAAAAGACCAAAGCTTCAGGAAACTTGAGGAAATAAGACTATATGAAACAGAAATCATCTATTTCACGGTATAAAAACTCATATAACAAATGTTTCTGTCTCTGATGTGATCTCCTAGTCTCTGGTCTACTTGAATTGAGATCTCATCTTCATGTAGTGCCTTAGGCACTAAAACACTAAGAGTACCCCAGTAGAGCCTCCCTCTGCACAGAGCAAAGCTTAATAGGAGGCTCCCATTTGCTTTTTGTGCTACTCCTGACTTCGGCTTCTGGTCCTTTTTTTTTTTTTTTTTTTAATTGATTTTTTACAGAGAGGAAGAGAGAGGGATAGAGGGTTAGAAACATCAATGGGAGCGAATCATTGATCAGCTGCCTCTTGCACACCCCCTACTGGGGATGTGCCTGCAACCAAGGTACATGCCTTTGACCGGAATCGAACCCGGGACCCTTTAGTCCGCAGGCTGACGCTCTATCCACTGAGCCAAACCGATTTTGGCTGCTTCCAGTCCTTTTGCAATGGGTCTATGCCTATCCCCTTTCTCCTTCAACAATCCCTGTAATAAATGTTCATTACACACACACACACACACACACACACACACACACACACACACAGTCTTACAATGGAAATTTCAGAATGCTTGCTTTCCTCAGTGATATAGTAGATAACAGTTAGTGTGGTCAGTATACTTTTATAGTAAACTAGAGGCCCAGTGCATGAAATTTGTGTACGGGTATGGTCCCTAGGACTGGCCTGCGATCAGGTTCATCTTCCCCAGCTGTCTGCAGCCAGCCCTGCCATCCCACAACCACCCACTCCTGGTTCCCCATTCACTGTCGAGTGATCGGAGCCTGACAGCCAGGGGAAGGGACTGAGATGTGGGCTGTTCCCGCCTGCTCGCCGGCCCAACACCTGCCACGGGTCACCCTCTGTGTGTGTGGTGACCTGCAGGGCAGGGGCCTTGGCCTCGTGCCACCTGCATCCCCAGCCATGCATCCCTGGTTCCCTGTTCATCATCAGGCGATGGGAGCCTGCCAGTTGGGAAAAGAGCCCAAGAGATATTCAGGGCGCCTTATAGTGACTGGTCAAAAGGTCATTCTGGTCATTCGACATTAGAGTCAATTTGCATATTACCCTTTCATTATATAGGATAGATGCCTGGTGCACGGGTGGGGGCCAGCTGACCTGCCCTGATGGGAGCTCCGGAATGGGGTGGGGGTCCCCACTGGGTGGTGGGGCCGGCCATGGTCTTTCTGGTCTCTGGTTGTTATGGCATTTTAGCTGCTATCCTTTTATTATATAGGATATGCAGTGGGCAGTAGTCTAGATCATCTAAAAGCCAGAGCACTTTTCTAATCAGTATGTTACAGAAGTTCATCAGATTCAAACAGACAGACTGGCAGCTCAAATCCCAACTCAAACTTGTCTTTTCTAGTCATCTAATTGTAAGCCTAGAATGCCCCTAAGGGGATAAGATACTAGGTGAGGGAAGCTGGGGTCTGCTTCATTCTTAGTGAGCCGGGAACCCTTTGGAACAATGCTAGTAATATGTCTGTTGGATTAGGAATAAGAGAGTGTTGGGAGTTCCAATATCACCCATCACTCCAAAGTCCATACTTCACTGGACAAGATGTGAAGGGTACAAAGTGGCTAGGGAAAATAGAGGCAGAGCCCTGCCAGTGTGGTTCAGTGGTTGAGCATCAACCCAGGAACCCAGAGGTCCTTGGTTTGATTCCTGGTCAGGGCACATGTCCTGCAGGGCATATGGCCTGCAGAAGGAAGCCAGTCAATGTTTCTTTCTCATTGATGTTTCTATCTCTCTATCCCTCTCCCTTCCTGTCTCTCTGAAAATCAATAAAAACGTATTTTATAAAAGAAAAGTAGAGGCAGGTATGGACAGTTTCTGGGGAAAAGGTCTCAGGTTATGCAGCTTTGGTCCTTCTCTGTGAGGCATGGCACTCTGTTTACCTATTTTAAAACTTTATGCTCTCTCAGTGGCCAAGGGGATGAGAGCATTTCCAGATCTATCTTCAGAATGACTATAATTTAGCAAGGAATTGTGTCTTAAGAATATCTCTCTCTCTTCCCTACACAATGAATTATAGCTAGAAAGTGAGGATGAGTAGCAACTTGCACTGAAGAGTAGACATTAAGGCAGAACTAGTACGTAAAAAGTTTCTTCCCCCTTCCCTTCTTTCTCTTTTTCCGTCCTCTGTAGTCTCCGTCCATTTTGGAATTTCTCCCCCTTTACCAGTTCTAACCTTCTTGTATTTCCTTCCCCTCCCTTCATAGTTTTTATTTCTCTCGCCTGCCCTTCAGCTTTGTTATGGCAGATGTGTTGCTAAAAAGGCCTGTAATTCCCTCATTTTCTAATTTAACATTTCAACCTCTCCCAAATTTAACACAGAAAGTGGTTTCCCCTCCACTTCTCTTCATCTACTCTGATCTTGAAAATTTAGTACTTTAAAACTTTGTGAAATTAAGGTTTATTTAGAAGCAGCCAGTTGGTTAGGGATTAAAAATATATATAAAGGACCACTCACAAAGAAAGTAATACATGTGGTAATAATACAGAGTAGACTGTACTAGTATATAAATATGTTATAAACATGTTAAACTATTTTCTGTTCTTTGCTTCATCTCTTAGATTAGTGGAACAAGAATGCCTACACACAGCCGCAGGAATCCAGTTTCCACAGAAACCAAAAGCCTGCCTGCTCAGCAAGTTGAAAATGAAGGAGGGGCTCCAAATAAAAGAAAAATAACATAAGGACTCTGCCATGGAAAATGAAGAAGAAACAGTTATAATAGTTCAACTTAGAAAAGTTTGAGGGGACATATGCCTAAAAGATCAGTAGACAAGATGAACATTTTTCTTTTAGTGTCCTTGAGAGTTCTTGAAAAAAATATGTTGGCTGTTTGGAAATGTTTTAACTAAAATGTAATGCTATACTCTTAACGCTTAATGTTTAAATAGAACCTAGTTATGTTTTAACATTACCATGGCAGGAAAATATATAGAAAAGAAAATTATTTTTGTAATAGACCTTTTTCAAAAATTGTATCATAAATAGGAAAATAATTTGCTTTTTTCCAAGAGCAACACTTATCCATTGTGTGTTATATTAATTAAGCTATATCACTAGCCTGCTGAGAGTGTTTCAAAAGGTTAAGTCTTGCCACTGTCAGAGATAATTTTGAGCAACATGAAACCTTGGTTCTCACTAATTGTGACAGTTCTTATATACAATTTTGAAATGATGATTGTTGCAGGTTAATAAAGAGAATACTTTTAAAAACTTAGCAAAATTCCATTGCAGAAGCCAAATTTTAAAATAAAAAGTTCCCTGCCTCTGAAAAGTTAACAATTTTTGTTGGGCCAACCATCAGTTTGTTAAACAACTTTTATTGTGTTACAGGTTTGATGACCAATACCTCTATCTCTTGGCACAAATCCCAGCTGAGTGTTGAAATATACTGAAAACAAAGAGATGAGCATGTTTTCTAGAAACATCTCATTATTTCAACTGATAAGGCTAATGTGTGGTAAAACATAAGCTATTTTTCCCTCATCTAGACTGATTAATTTAAATTTTCTATAACCATTTCAGTGAATTTGGAAAAAGACATGATCAACTGATATATAGCTAATTTGGTCTTAAGAAGGGATGGACTTATTTAATTTTTGTATTCTTGTGCTTTAATGTCCACTAAAGTTTTTAGAGATATATAAGGTTTTGTAATTGAATTCAATATGAGCTTTATTTTTGTAAATTTTATGTGTTTTATATTAATATTAGAAATTTACAATAATATAAAAAACCTAGAAATTTCTAGATTCCTAGAAATCTTCCCAATTGTGATAAGAATTGAGCATTTTCATTTTCAATTACCAAGTTTTATTTTGTTTAGTTTAGACTTTTGGTCAGTTATAAAATATTTTTTAATAAAATATTTTTATTTAATGAGTATCTGTAAAATTGTTTTATGTATTTTAACATATGATTTCCTCTTCCTCCCATTTCCTTTTTAAAACATTGATCCTCTTTTTTAATGGACATTTTTTTCTTGTTTGTTTGTTTTTTAGCTTTGTCACAGAGTCCCATGTCCCAGAAATAGCTTAGTTGTGACTCATTTGGCAATTAACCTAGAAAAAGTCAGGGATTTCCTTGGAACTTTCTCTTTAAAAAAAACAAAAAGACAACAACAACAACAACAAAAAACAGACAGTGATTTCTTCAGACTTCTAAATACCAGAAAGTCTTGGCTTTCATTTTTTTTTAATATATACTTTTTACTTAGTAAAATGATCTTGCAAGTGATTATTTTGAAATTATCTTAGCCATACATTTAAGTAACTGTGATAATGTATGTAAGCTAGTCTTAGTTTTCTACTTGTGCTTAATTAAGCCTTTTATAAAACATATATTTGATCATATCCTGTGTTCTTATTCATGATTCTTAGTGCTGAGAATGTGTAAGTAACAAAATGACATTGACAGTATGAGCAAAGATTTTTTTTTTTTCTAAGAACAAAACACTCAGTGTTAGATAGCAAGGATGTCATGGGCCTAGCCCACTTATACATCCATGGTGAAGGAATTGTTTATACATACCTCTTGGAAAATATTTAATTCAGTAAAATTTCATCTAAAGTAGGCCCCACTCTCATAGCGTGTATGTATACATATATCACAGTATTTATTTGTTTATTTGACTTACTGTCTTCTTCAATAGACTCCATGCATTGCCAGGACAGGGTGTATTTGTTTTGTTCACCACTATGTAACCACACCTAATGTAAGTGTATGTCCTATAGTTATTTAGTAAATATAGGTTGACTGTATAAATAAATGAATGTATATGTCAGGGATAGATTCTTTTCACATTCCAATGAAGGATGTGATACTGATGTATGTAAGTAAGTGCTCTGGTTAAGTTATGTGAGAAAGTCATCTAACCTAGACCTGATAATTAAGGCAGATTTTTTTAGATAAAGGTTGAGCTGAGTCTTTTAAAAATGAGTAGGAGTTGGGTCCTGGCTGGGTAGCTCAGTTGGTTAGAGCATCGTCCCAATATGCCAAGGTTTTGGATTCAGTCCCCAGTCTGGATACTTACAAAAATCAACCAACGAATGCACGAATAAGTGGAACAATAAATCAGTGTTTCTCCTCGCTTTAAAAATCAATAAAACTTAAAAACAAACAAATAACATGATGAGATATGTGCTTGGCAAACCTCTTGTTGCCATTAGTCTAAGGAATGGAATGGAGCTGGGAAAGACTATTGGAAGAAAGAAAAATTGGAAAACTGTGCTGTAATTAAAAAATGGTAAAGGCCCCAAGTTAAAGCTGTAAATATGGGGATGGACTTAAGTGATAATAGAAAAATGATAACTCAATGATATGGTTGATAGGGGGAGTCAAGTTTGGCCTCATGTTTCTCATTTGGAGTGCTGGGTATGTGATGGTTTTATGCACTGAGTAAGTAAGAGAATGGGAAGAAATTCAATAAAAATAAATGTTCATTGTCTTTCACCCTTTCTATTCCTTGGGTTTCAGGTTTGAATATTATATTTGCTATGTTTTGCTACATAATCAATTACCCCAAAATGTGACTGGTTAAAATAACAAACATGTATTATCCCAGAGCTTGTGTGTGGCAGGAGTCTGGATGCCACACAGCTGGGTGCCTGTGGCTCACTGCCTCTAATAAAGTTACAGTCAAGTTGTTGGCTGAGGCTGCAGTCACTTGAAGGGTTGTCTGGGGCTGGAGCATCTGCTTCCAAGAAGGCTCACTGTTGGTGGGGGTGGGATGTCAGTCTCTCACTGGGTAGTGCCAGGAAGCCTCTCTTCACTATATGCACCTCTCCATAGGTCTGCTTGAATGTCTTGGCATAGCAGCTGGCTTACCCCAGAGTGAGCAAGGAGGAAGTCAAAATATCTTATATTTGAGTCTTGGAAGTAAAGCACTGACTTCTGCCACATTCTCCATGTTAGAAATAACTTAGTTTCACCTCTTGAAGGAACGAATATAAAAAAGAATTTGTGAGCATATAATTAAGCTGCCACAAATGCTATGAACATTTTAAGTATCTAGAAGAACTAGGTTTAAGGTGGAAAGAAGAGAAAGGACATCACAAAACATCTTATTATCAACATGTTAAATCTGAGCTAGAGATAGTCAGTGTCAAACATAGTTGATCATTTAAATTTTGAATTCAAGACTGATCGCACCAATACAGATCTGGGAATCAGTGTGCCTTTGATATTTGAAATCAGAAAAAAATAATAAAATGACATGGAAATTAATGGAATAAAGAAAAAGCCATGATGGAGCCCCAAGGAAAATCACAAACTTCAGTAAAAGAAGTTTATTAAAATGGCAAGTGTGGAAGTCAGATTGATAAACCTTAGGAAATAAGTACAAAGTGAGGTGGAAACAATAAAAGTCTTCATTGCTAATTTGTCAGCAAAATTTGGAAATAATTTAACTATTTGGATTTTCTTTTGCAGTTGCAGAGGGAATTGACCTGTTGGTTCATTTCCAGTTCCAGTTAGATTCCGGGTTTGGACACCTCAAATATTTTAGAGGTAATAAGAGTTTAGTGTAGAGGGGGAAGAACACCTTTCCTTTCTAATATTTTATTATCAACATGCTAAATCTGAAGTTTCTGATGGACTTACAGATAAAGATACTAAGAGGCATGATGTGTGTTATAGTATATGGTACTTTTTAATCAAGCTTTAGAATATTTATATCAAGATTTGTTGAAATAATCCCCTTTATTACAACATCTCATTGAGATGTAATAAAGGGGATACATTTAATTGAACCTTACAGTCTTGCCATGTTCCTTTGGCTAATGTCCAAACTTCTTTTTTTTTTTATTATTATTATTATCTGTACATATGTCCAAACTTCTTACTACAGTATGTAAGGGCAGGTTCACAGACCTCCGTCTGGGGTTTGGGTCTGATCTGCTGAGCAAAGTTTTCTGAAAAAGTTGAGACCCAGGTGCATATTTCTAGGATGAGTCTCTAGATTGCCTCATCAAATAGGAATGCTCTCTCAAGAGTTCACCTTGGTATGTGTTTCAATATATGAGCTACTGTTTATAATCAAGCCAGGGGCTACAAAAGGGTTGTTTTTTTATAGCTGTACACACATGGTATAATATGGTTAATTATCTAAGGCAGTGGTCGGCAAACTGCGGCTCGCGAGCCACATGTGGCTCTTTGGCCCCTTAAGTGTGGCTCTTCCACAAAATGCCACGGACTGGGCAAGTCTATTTTGAAGAAGTGGCATTAGAAGAAGTTTAAGTTTAAAAAATTTGGCTCTCAAAAGAAATTTCAATCGTTGTACTGTTGCTATTTGGCTCTGTTGACTAATGAGTTTGCCGGCCACTGATCTGAGGAATGGGCGGGGAGAGGGGAACAGTGTAAATTAAATGCTGCTTTGAAAGTCAAGAAACAAAGATTCTGTGATTAGTGGGTTGAATTCCTCCTTCCCTTTTCTTGAGAAAATGCATTTCTTGAAGGGGAAAAAATATTTTCTATGCTTCCTATCTGGGTTTTACTTACCAACAACTATATATAGCACAGGGAGAGTATGTGTACAGCACAGAAGAGTATGTGCATCTTAATCCTGAGGCTCACTGCAGTAAGGCAGTGCCACACCGATGATGTGGATTTTGGGTCTCTTCCAAGCATCACATTAATGCACGTCTGCTCCAGCCAGACTTTGCCTTCACACGAATTAGCCGCACTTGTCCCTGCATGCGTGCCTTGGCACATAAAGCTACATCTGGTTGGATTTATTGTATTACCACCTATCAAAACTGTGCCTGACCTCTCTGGAGCTAATAATGCATTTTTGAGCATCAAAAAGGTCTAATACTTTATACCAATCTCTTGGGATTTATAGATAAATAAGATTGATTTCTGACTTAAAAATATTTCCTAATCTAGTTAGGGACAGATACACACACACACACACACACACACACACACACACACACACAGCTATAATATAAGGCAGAATAGTCAAATGGCACAATAGTGCATAGGAGTAAGAAAATGGGATGCTTGCGCATAAGGGAAACTTGTGGTAAAAATGGCCTTTGAGCTATATGTTTGAAAACAAGTAAAATATTAATATGGGCAAAAAGGAAGCAGAGCATTAGAGCATGAGGGGAAGTCATATGAAAAGTGCAGGTTTAGGAAATAGCAAGTATATTCATGTAATAAGCATGAGAGTAAAGGATAATAAATGGGAGATGGAGAGGTAAGTTAGAGCTTGATAGTGGAAGGTATTAACTAAATTCCAGATTTTAAAAGTAATCAGGGGACATTGAAACTTTTTGAGCAAGATGATATCAATTTTAGGAAATTTAAGTATTAAAGAATTATTTAGAAAGGAAGAAGACTTATGAAAAGGAGGTGTTAACTATACAAATAGCAGGCAGATGGTAAAGATGTAAACTGGAAAGTCATTTAAAAGTTAGCCCTTAGGAAAAAAAAAAAAAAAAAAGTTAGCCGTTAGAGTTAGCCCAGTCACCAAAATGAATGTCTACCTCAAATAAAGATGAGTCACAACTCAGTAACAGACAATAGGTGTTGGGAATACAAAGGTGAATTGAAGGTCCTGGCACATGAAACTATATGAAATTATGAAGTGAGAGGTTTCAAAGACTTAAAATATTAGAGGAAGAGTATGGATGAGGTTAAAAGACAAGTTATGTGTTCAACCAAATAGCAGTACAATAAAGGTGATGTACTATAGAACCCATAGACTGAAAATGCAGTCCGGAACACAGGAGAGAGAAATAGATAGGAAGGTTGGGAGCCTCTGCCCCTCTCTTTGGGCCAAGGAGCTGGGAGTTTGGTTACATACCCAATTAATTGAGCAAATACATATATTGAGAATAATAGGAAATGTATGTCCAGGAAGAGCACAACATCACTTTTGTGATGTATTACTGCCAAATATGCATAAGCCATGAGGAAACACTAGGGAAATTGAGGCATTAATCTCTCAAATAATCGGTAAGCAATCTTGAAAATAGCAGGGTTGCCCTGACAGATGTGGCTTAGTTGGGCATCCTGTGCGCCAAAAGTTTACCTATTCAATTCCAGTTTGGGCAGCTGATCTGTGTTTCACTCACATCAATGTTTCTCTCCCTCTCTCTAAAAATCAAAATATCTTTTTATATCAGGGTCATAAGAGATGAAATGTGTCACATAAAGATTAACCTAATGGACCCAGGCACCTAGGTTGAATCCTAGCCCAATAAAGGATGTTATTGGAACAATTGAAAATTTGAATGGAGTGGATTATGTGCTAGTATGGATATGAATTTCCTGATTTCGGTGTGGTTATGTCAGACTGCCCTATACTTAAACACTGAGGTATAAATTAGTAATGGTGTCTGCAACTTACTCTGAAATTGGAGGACTCAGGCAGAGATATGTTAACAGGGAGTCTTGAAAGGATGACACAGGAGCTATGTGTACTATTCCTGTAATTTTTATATGTTTGAGATTGTTTCAGACTAAACCCTGTAAGAAGGGTATAATTCACAGTATCAAGTACTACTGGAGGTCACAGAGGACAGATAAAATTTGGGGCAGGTTGGGGGGTGGGAGCGGAAGGGGAAAGTCTCTTGGGTTCAAAAATCAATCAGGCATAAACACAAAAGTGTTGAAATGAGAAAATCAGGGATTCCTGTTTTGGGGGTCTATGACATGAAACTTATTCAAATCACTAACAGCCTTTCTCTAAATTCCTAATTATAATACCACAAATTCTAAATCTCAGATGTTATCCTATTTTTCTTTGGGGATTTTGTATACATCCCCAAACAGATGGTAATCTTCTCATGGGCAATGGTTGTGTCTTTATACAGACTCTCTGTTTACCCCCAAACCAGTCCCAGAGTCAGGCAGCCTCCAGATGTTCTTTCAATGCGTACTAACTCGAGCAGATACCCAGAGCTCCCCATAGGCCAGCAGATAGCGAGGTTGTCTCCACTGCAGTCTCAGATCTCCCCACCCACCAGGGCAGGTCTGCAGGCACCTATGCGCCCCTCACAAGAAAATAAATATTTAAAACTTGTGTTTCTTAAAGGCAACACCAGTCACCCCTAAAAAGAATAAAGCTCTACATTTTGGATACATTTTACAACACTATCTCATTTAAGAGTAACAAAACAAAACAAAACAAAATACAAATTCAGGTTAGGCTTAACCATTTGGAAGATACCATATTTCAAAACCACTTAAAAACATTCTACCTGGCAGCCAACACTTTGTCTGGACAAGTCTGTGAGTCTACTTGGACCAGAAACAAAGCAAAGCAAAACAAACTCCTTATCAAAGGGAGAGATGGGTGTCAAATCACTGGCATGCTGAAAAGCTGCCTGTTGTTTCACAAATCTCTACAGCTGATGTCCTCCAAGGCCAAGTCAACCCAGGCCTTCCACAGCTTAGCAAGCTGGGCTTTCAACAAACCTTTACCCAATTTAGGCTCCTCTACTGTGAGGTTTTCTGGATTTAGCTGTTACACTGGACTCCAAATAAATGAGGATATTGTGTCCAGGAGCAGTCTTACTGATGGCATAATCCTCCCTGAGGGAGTATTTAAATTTGCACCTAAAGTTTTCAACTGAAAATGAGAAATGAGTCCAAAAAAAAAAAAAAAAAAAAATTCAAGTGATTACAATCTCTGTTTAATTGGATGAGAAAGTTAACATATCTATACAACTAAGAAATAGTATGTATTTTATGGAGCTTGTGTTTTATTTTTATCTATTTGGTTCTGGACCCCAACACTAGGTGAATGTGAAAAATGAAGGATTGAACACATTTTGCAAGTATAATTTCTGCCCTCTGCCCCAACAAAAGTGATGCAAATTTGAGTTTCCCAAGTGCCACACTGGGCAGCTGGAAATAGCCTCTGTCCTATCCCAACATGCGGTCTCATGGAATTGCACAATGACCTCTTTGAGTTCAGAAAGGGGGTGAAATCGCAGTGCATTAGGCTTGAATGTCTCTGTGTATGTGTGCATGTTGGGAGGCTAATAAAGTGGTAGGTCAGTCCCTAATTCAGTTTGGCTTTTTTTTAATGCTACACTCTAGTGCCTGAAAACTTCTACTCTTAAGGAGAAAGGACTGTGTAACTTAGTGAGAGCCTAAGGCCAAAATGTCATTTTGCATACAAGGAAGTGCTGAGTTTGCTGTGAGCCAGGCCTTCTGCCTCCCAGGAGCCCACGCTGGAGTTAATTCATATCCAGCAGTTGGAGAAGTTCTTAAGACTGTCAGCTGCAACTTGAAGAGAAGTATGAGAGGTCAGGTCTTAGAAGGAGCCAGCCCAGAGCTGGAATTTGTTGGATGAGGCATCTGGAGTGGGGTTTGGAGGTGAGCACCTCCTTAGAGTCTCCACTCCATCATTTGCTCAGACAATACCTCTCCTCTCTGAGCCAAGTCTTTTCATCTGTAAAATCCAGATATTTATGCCTTCCCAGCATATCCTACAGGCTCTAGTGGCCTTCAATATATAATAGGTATAAAAGTTCTTCTTAACCTGCCACTAGCCCACTGTTTAAGTGTGAAGTGTTGTCAAATTAAATCAATGAGCCATGTATGTCATTTGAGCTAAAACTGGAAAGGAGTTTGACAGACTGGAAGGGAAATTCCAAGCTGAGAGACAAAAGTATGATCAATGTTGCAGAGGTACAGACACGCATAGCATGTTGGAATAGCAGGTCTTCCAGGGTGGCTCAGACCTGGCCAGGTGCCCTTGGTGAAGGCCCCAAAAGGAACTGCTAGAAGCATTCTGGGGAGAACTCAGTATGAAGCCCTGGGTGCCTTATAGAGACTGCAGGTGTTGTCTTGAGACAGGGAGTAATCAGAAGGCTTTTAACGGGGTGGCAATAGAGGCAGGCAGCATGGTTAAACTTCCACAATGGGAAGCGTGGCTATAATATGTAAGATAGGTTTGGAGGCACAAGAGAAGCTAGGGAAGTCTGATGGAGGAAGATCAGGAGACGCTATTTTTTAAATCTAAACAAAAGCCTCAGAGATTAATCTTACTTGGCAATCTGTCATCTTTGTTTCTTCATTATCAAATATACCTGCCATGTTGGTGAGAGTGTGGCCAAGAAAATGAGATCTTAAATCTACTGGAGTTGGGCATCAGATGTAGGGTGATAAGTACTGCAGACTCTCAGACCAGTTGGGTTAGATGCCTTTCCATCTACAGCCCAAAGCTAGAGGGTAAGGTTATCTTTGCAAAAATAATATTCTGGGAGATTGAACTCCATTTATATTATAATATTTGGAAGTGGACTCTAAATCTCAGGATGGGGGAAGGTTGGTATCCTAAGAAAGTCTAAAAAAAAAAAAAAAAAAAGAAGAAAAAAAATAGCCAACAGTCCTAGCTGACTTGGCTCAGTAGATAGAGTGTTGTCCTTCCAACTGAAAGGTCCAGTGTACAATTCAGGTCTTGGGCACATGCCCGGGTTGCAGGCTTAATCCCCAGTGTGAGGTGTGTAGGAAGCAGCCGATCAATAATTCTCTCTCATCATTGATGTTTCTCTCTCTCCTCCCTTCCTCTCTGAAATAAAAAAGTATATATTTAAAAAATAACAAAATAAAAAGCCAAACTCAATTAGGGACTGACCCTACCATTTTATTAGCTCCCAGCATGCACACAATACAGAGACATTCATGTCTAATGCACTGTGATTTCACAATTCCTTCACCCTTTTTAGCCCTGGTTAGGTAGCTCTATTGGTTTGAGGATCTTCTGATTCCCCAAGATTGTGGGTATGATCCCTGGTCAGGACAAATACAAGAATAAACCAATGGATGCATATATAAATGGAACAGTAAATCGATGTTTCTATCTCTTTCCCTCTTTTCCTCCCTCCCTCCACTTCCCTTCCTCTTTCTAAAATCAATTTTTTAAAATATATTTTTATTGAATTCAGAAAGGAAGGGAGAGATAGAAACATCAATGATGAGAGAGAATCATTGATTGGCTGCCTCCTGCATGCCCCCCAATGGGGATCAAGCCAGCAACCTGAGCATATGCCCTAACTGGGAATGGAACGGATGACCTCTTGGTTCCTGGGTCTACACTCAACCACTGGGCTATACCTGTCAGGGCTCTAAAAAACAATCTTTAAAAAAGGTTACTATAAATGTTACTTTTACCTACTTGGTCTCTCTCTTAACCTTTTAAAACTGTAAAATAAAAAGGAAGTGAGCCTACCAGCTGAGCCCAGATGCCCCAACTGAAACCCAAGTTCCCCTCCACTGAGGAGCTTGAGGGTCAAAGTAAGTCATGCCATGAGCTCTTCCCAAGAATGCTTGGATATTCATGTGATGTACCGTATTTTTTGGACCATAAGATGCTCCGGACCATAAGACACACCAGTTTTTAGAGAAGGGAAATGAAGAAAAAAAGATTCTGAAACAAATAGTGTCCTAAAATATTTTATGTGCATTAAAACCCAACATCACAGTCATAAACACATGTAATCAACCCTGTAAAGTAAACAGCAGCATTTAGAACCATTTTAGAGCCGGGCAAGCACAGAGACCACACAGAGCCGGGCAAGTAAAAAAACTTTTTTTTTAAAGTATATGTGTAGGCTATATTTGGACCATAAGACACAGGGACTTTTCCCCCCCACTTCTGGGGGGAAAAAAAGTGCGTCTTATGGTCTGAAAAATAAGGTATATGTTAATGTTTCAAATGAGTACTACAGCCTGGAAAGAGAACATTTGCTTGGTTGAGACTACGTAGTAATCTGAGACCAGCACTGCCAGCCCCTCCAGCCCTGTGGGTCTCAGCCATTGCTCTTCAGTTTGGTGTCATAGGTCTGAACACTTCATGTATTCTTTTTAACAATACAAGGCAGGTCATGTTATTAAGTGCATAATGTATTAGCAGACACATTTGTGAAAAGACCAATAGAAGCAATGGTAGTTAGTAACTTTGAGAATGATTTCAGATTTTGAAGGAAGCGTAACACTGCAGATCCAGGAAAGGGACTGGCTGGCAGGGTCTTTGACTGACTTTGCGTCCACTAACTCTGAGGTCCTTTCCTCTGCAGCTCTCTGGGGCGGTGCCTAAGTTTGTTCCAGCTCTCTAGACTGCCCACAAGGGGAATGCCACTGGCTCTGGAAAAGGGAGGGGCTGATGGTGGTAACTGAATCCATCTTGATGATGATCTACAGGAGACTGATGTCATTCATTGGAAACTTCAACCAGCTGGGTCATGGGAGTGTTGGCTTTGAGGCTTTTTTTGGTGTGTAAGTACCTTACCCAGAGGTATGTTATTACTGAAGATTCCATTTCAGCCCACTCTATTTTTGGATATTGTCACACACAAAACCAAAAAGCAAATACTTTTAAATAGTTATAACGTGATTTTGAATATTTGGTATCTCAGGAACTCTGGAATTTTTATTGGACTGATCGATAGCCACTTCAGGCCTCATATCAGAAAGATCACATTTTCTTAAAAGTAGAGATTAGATACTGCTGAGTCCATGGAGCAATGTAATCATGTAAGAGTCTGGTCATGGCTTCATGTATTTTTAACCCCAGTGAGCAATATCCTTCCCTCCTATTGTCCTTTGCCCTCTTAGTCATGAGCCCCGGCTCAAGAATGACCTTTAAATGTTCCCCCAAACTCCTCTCAAGTGACCAGAATTTGGCTTAGGCTCTAGGGTCGTGGTCGGCAAACTGTGGCTCTGGAGTCACATGCAGCTCTTTAGCCCCTTGAATGTGGCTCTTCCACAAAACACCATGGCCTGAGCGAGTCTATTTTGAAGAAGTAGTGTTAGAAGAAGTTTAAGTTTAAAAGATTTGGCTCTCAAAAAACATTTCAATTATTGTACTTTTGATATTTGGCTCTGTTGACTAATGAGTTTGCCGACCTCTGCTTTAGGGTAATACTTTAGTAGAGAAGTTCCAAAAATACTCCCACGATAGTGGCATTAAGTAAATACATGACTTTTCTAGAGGCTTATCCTCTGTCTGTTTTTATACTGGAATGTTCTTTTAAAAATTAACAGCCTCACCTCTCTGCAGTGACACTCCCTTTGGATATTGAATGCACTGGTATATGTGCCATTTCCTCTTTTATGCTTACACAATGACTTACACATCTGTGAGTAACTGACTGTACTGGCCAGATGGAATGTGTGACTTCCTTTCGCTGACTGGGGAACTGCTGACAGATTTGCCGTTCATCCGTTGGGCTCCTCTACCTCTTTGATTTCATTTCTGATGTATTTTATCAAATTGATTACTTACTTACCTCCACTAGACTATAAGGTTGGAGTTACCTGGTTTCTTGCTAGTTTGCTTCTGCTATACCGTCCTGTCTTAGGGCCTAGCAAATAGTGGGTGCCCAATGTTTGCTAAATCAAATGAAGTTGTCTTCAGAATTCCTGAATTTTTATGGTCAGACACTGGCAGCTTTTTCAGGAACACGGGTGATCAAAAACCACCGAGGCTTCCATCTGTACTAGAATAAGCATTTTACCAATTTCATAGAAAAATATTTGTAAAGCACTTGCTAAATACAAAAATCCACGTAATTGATCATTGAAGATAAAAAATAGGAGGTGCTGGATGCAGAGAGACCTTTCAGAAAATATTTCCAAGTTAAGCATTTTCTGAAGTACATTTTTCCATTTTTTTACAATCTTAACAGTTTTTCTTAAATTTCTTCTTTTGAGCTCCAGCCTACTAGAGTTGAGTGTTTTTTCCACCCCACCCTAGTTGCTATAGCTGATGAATCATAGTAACCAGAGACGGGAAAGACCAGTGAAATCATCTGGCTTATCGCCAGATTAGGGAGTGTAGCATGGGATTTGGAGAAGACTAACCTCTCACTTAAAAAGAGAAAAGAAAAAGTAAGAGAGAAAGAACACTGCAGCCAGAGCTGATTAGAGCAGCTCACCCATCTGTTTGTCTTTTGCTTCTAGCATAGCCCTAAGACCTACCCTATGGAAAGTAATCAGGAATTCCGATCAAGGGCCCCAGGAAAACCAAAGTGTTAAAGGAGTAGAGCTCAATGTGTACTCCCTGAGTAATGAAGTAGAATTAGAAACCTTTCAGTGATTGTGATAACCAAGTCTTATAGAATCTGAGACTGTTTTAGAAAGACTACACTTTTAAGAGCTAGCCAGGACCTTTGCAGATGACCTGAGCTAAACTGCCTCGTTCCCAGATGCAGAAAAGGAGCACCGGTCGATCCGTGTCTCTCTATTACAGTCACACAGTACAGTAAAACTTCGATATAACCGACTAATTCCAGCGAACGTCCATTATATAATCAAGTTGGTTTCTAGATGCGTATGTTAAAAAAATTGACAAATTAGTTTACCTGTTTTCACTTGTGTAGACATATTTGTGTAATGAAAATTATGTATGAAAACTTTAATCTCACAGAAAAATTTTCTTCATTTATTACATTAATTTTAAATTTATCCTGAATAGATCTAATAAATGCATACATTCACCAGTCACTGAGAGGAAACAAATGCACACAGCTGGCTGTGGCTTAGGACACGTGGGAACATCTGCTTGGAGGCATTCAAACTGCTGCAGAAAGTCACGCCACGTGAAAACAGAACCAGTTACTGTGTCCAATGCAGTGTGATCACGAGCTAATCATTCGCCCAACTTTGTTTAAGAGTGGTGACTCTTAGATATGTAGACTGTAGTTGTAGATATGTAATATTTATTTATGCCAGCAAAATTACTGCAGTATTTTTCCAAAATAATAGCCTATTCACTAAAATTTATTAAAAATAACAGTGAATTAATAACAAAAAATGACCTATTAATTTAATTATAAGCAAATCTTCATTGAAAGCATTTTAAAATTAATAGGGTGTTAATTTTCACATGACATATTGACTGGAAATTTTGTCTGTTAAATCTGAAGTCCATTAAATTGAGGTCCACAAAATGGAGGGTTTACTATTGATATATCCTCTTCCTCCATGTTCTCTATTATGTTGTTCTTTCAAGAAATAGCAAAGCTGATTTAGCATCCTTATTCCCTTCACATCAATCAAGCCTGACCCCCAGGCATTACTTGTCTTTGAGCCACAGAGACAAGGACACTTCAGCCCCACTTGCAGTCCCTCCACCATTTTCCTTGCTTCCCTCGGACTTGCTTCTGTGTTGTTCCTGCTGCAGAATCATGGCTTCATCTCCTGTTCAAATTCTGCTCCTGTCTTTTGGACTTTTTAACAAATCTCAATGTCCATAGCTCCTCTCTTGGTACTTAGTTTAGCTCTACCCCAGCTTCCAATGTCCTCTCATAGCATCCCTACCCCAACCTCTTGGCTTGTCAAACCAGCACCATGCCACCTGCTTTTTGCCAGTGCCCCCTTACAGTGAGGAGGGATGATTGTGCTACATGGATGGTGATA